CCGCTTTGCTGAAGCCATTGCAATTAAGAAACTGAAACCGGACTTATGCATCCAAAAAGAGACTTTAATAAACTTATCACTACCCTGGTAATCCTTTTGTTTCTGTTTGTTTTGTGTTTTGGTTATTTTATTCATTTACTTATTCTAAGATAATTTATACTCCCCCCTATTACCTAATTCTTAAAATAAATTGTATTCACACATTTCCATCACCTGATCCTCTTAAATCATCTTAACTTTCCAAACCCTATTTCATTATTATTACGTAATCTACCTTATCATTATTTAATTCCATTAATCTCTACAATTATCACACAATTTATGAACTTCACTAAATTATTACACCACCCACCCTGGATTAACCCCCCTCTTTTGACCTCTGACCTGTTTCTAGCATATATATATAGTTATTATTGTAATCACGTTATTTACACTCATTTATGTCAATTGTTTCACACTATCTCCACGTAAAAATTCTATCACAATTTTGGTTTGTAAGCAGCTGACGAGAAACCTCGAAATAATATGAATTAATACTATTCTGCATCAATGTTTGTTCTTGCTCTGTTTAAGCTGTGGTTGTTGTAGTATTTGTACGAACTACTGATTTCTTTGTACTTGACTGTGCATTTATTCAGAATTCCAAATACAATACTTTCGATCATGTTCATCTACTTCTGCCTACCATACAATGTTCTATTTCGTGAATCCTCAGTACATTAATCCGAATATTTCCAATCATAGATAGTTTTACCAATAATTCACAGTTCAGTTAATATAGTTTAGATTGGAGTTTGTTTCGACACATCAGTGCAACGATACACACATCAAGAGGATGCATCATCTTCAGTCTACATCCACTTATTCTCATGAGCGAGACGATTGAGACGCTATGTGGTTCCATTTGGGTGCGATGCAACCATTTTATCAGTCAATTGACAATTATATTGTCAACCTACTGATGGGTTTGGTACATATGTTACAGTTTCTTAATTTCTCATCGTCTCAGACGATCGAAAGCGGCGCAGAGAACGATCATATTTGATTCTATATGAATCCCTAGTATTGGTATAATTGGTAAGGTGCTGCTGAAATAAGCAAGGTAACAGATAAGATTTGATCAAAACGCACATGCTAAGAGTACACTACTAGCTTGCAAACTTGGTGAGCACTGACGATGTCAAATTGTAAGGAGATAACAGTACTCACGTCTGTCACCTATCATGGAGCATAAGTCACCCACCAACATTCTTCGTCCAACACTGTCCTGAGTAATCCATTCCACTTGTTTTCAGTTCCCGCTTATCCTGTTGATATCTGTTTACAATTCTCGACGCCTTCCACTTTTTCGTTTCCCTTCATAACTACAAGTTAGTTGTGAGCTCGGGCTACGGTGATTTTCCTTTCACCTGGTGTGTAAGTATTTACATAAGCAATTGAATCTAACTACCATACATGAGGATAAGTTACAAATGAATATGCTTTAGTGTTGCCTTGTGGCTATACTTACTAGTGGTTGATATATTAACAGACATATTAAACAGGAACATTTACATGCTGCTAGTGCTTGTTATATAACCACGATAGCCGATTGTAATCATAGTCGATTGTTAGTTCTGTCGATTGAACGAAGTTTACCCCTTCGACTTATCAAGGTAAAATAGCAGTTTTTAAGGCCGTATAATACAAAAAGTTATTATGGCAATTTATTAGTAAGAACAAGCAAAATCCAGTGACTACCCCTGCATGGGAAGTCCACTTGTTTCCAGTTATCCATTCTTTCGATGTCTTCTTACAATTTCCGACGCAGTGTGTTCTTTGGCCGTCCCGATTGTCTCTTCATGAATTTTGGTGGTTTCCACAATCTATGTCCTATCTACTTCCCATGTATTTTCTTAATTTCCTCTTCAGCTGAAAGCTGGTTTGTTCTCTCCCACAGTAGGTGTTGCTGATGATATCCGGCCAACGGGTGTTAAGTATCTTGCGTAGACAACTATTTATAAATACGTGTACCTTTTTGATGATGAACGTCAACCGATGGCAAACCTGTACATATATCGGATATCTAACATGTTTTAGAATCATTTAATACTAAAGTTAGCAGTTGATGACATGTAGTAGATAGCTAAACGTTCAGTAGTTTATCCAATCAATTGATATTTACTATTCTGAATAGTAGAGCGGTAAATGTAATTCAGGTACATGGTAGAATGTATGGCCCATTTATTGTCCTACTTAATATATTTTTTCACGACTTACAGTTGTTCATTCAAAGCACTACATAATCTTTCTTACCTACGCCTCTTAACCCTTGGGGAGGAGCATAGGCCACCTAACAAGATTGTTCAACCAACTCTGTCCTGAGCAATCCTTTCCAGTTTTTTCCAGTTACTATTCACTCTTTTGATGTCTGCTTCCCATTCCCGACGCAGCGTTCTTTGGCTTTCCTCTTTCCCGTTTCCCTTCAGGATTGCAAGATAGCGCTTGCCTTGTGTTGCAGTTTGATGATTTCCGTAAAATATGTCCTATCCACTTCCAACGTGTTTTCTTAATTTCCTTTTCAGCTGAAAGCTGGTTTGTTCTCTCCCACAGTAGGCTGCTGCTGATGGTATCCGGACAAGGGACATTGAGTAACTTACCCAGACGATTGTTCATGAATATTTGCACAATTTTAATTATGGTTAGAGTAGTTCCCCAAGTTTCAGCTCCATACAGTAGGACTGTCTTCACGTTCGTATTGAATATTCTGACTTGATGATGTGTCTTTCTGAATAAAGCGTGGAGCGTCTTTTCAGTCAATTCAATGTCCGACTTCAATGCTTCAACTGGTATGTTGTCTGGTCTTTCAGTCTTCCCACTCTTGATTTGTCTAATGACCATCCTGATTTCTTCGACTGTTGGTGGAGTGTTTAGAGCTATACTAAACTCCTTGACCTTGTCAGAATCTTATATTGTCCAATATTGAGGACTTACAGAACTATTTACTTTGGGGATTTATTTTCCGTTACAGGAGCGTTTGTGATTATGATGAGTTATAAAATAACTAGTATGAGTGTGACAAAAATCCATATTACCATTTTGTGTTGTTTGAGACTTTTCTTTGACAGATCAAACCTCAGTGCTGCAGAAAAACGTTTAACTTAATGCATTGCATTTGTAAGCCTGTTCGTGTAAGAGTTTAGATTGTTTAAATGTCCTGGAAATCTTACCCTTCTTCCAGAACGCGTTGTTTTAAGTTTTTTTCAGATACTGTCGAAGTATCATTGTGTGTGTTGGCTGTCGGATGAGGTATTATAAGTGTAGGAGCCGTATCGTTCGATTGTGCTTTTCTCAGCTGTTCCGTTGTTATTGAATCTCAATGATTGGCTTACCTTCCTTGTCTTTCACTGATCTTTCTGGTTTACTATAGTCTCCTGTTAGTTTCTTCGTTATATCATATAGTTGTTTGATATTTCCTCCTCTTGCCGCTTTTTGCGCTGTCGCTGCCAGGTCTTCTACGCAATTCTGCATGTCGGCTCTAATGCTCCTTTTATCTCTCGTTTGCCTCTCTGTATTCAATGTGTGCCTTGACTTTCACTGCTCTTGTTCGACTGTCAGTCAGCCAGTCAGCTACAACGTAGAACCAGGCACATATATGCATCGGTCCAAGTTGCCATACCTCATTAGAACAACAGGATGATAGCCGAATTCATAGAAATAATTACTTCAATGGTAGTAATATATTAAAGAAAGATTGTGTATAAGGATAAAATACAAAAAAAGAACCATTTTGTAGAACGAAAGATAAAAAGCAATTTTAATCTTATTGTTTAAGGGAAAACAAAGAGTATATACATCTACGCCATTGTGATCGATTCTGAGCCATGTCACCAAGAGTCTCCAACCATTGGTTATGATAGTCACGCGGACCCCAACCGAGTAGTCTTCGTCTACCAACATGGCTAAGACTAGAAGTTAGTGACTTCAAGCACTGATGCCACGTTTTGGTTTGACCAAACCTAACTTTCTTCCAACGATCTCCAACACCAGTTAGCATTACACGTTGTAATAATCGGTGTTCAGGCATACGTAATACGTGGCCCAACCATCTCAGCCGATAAAGATTCACAACCTTATCAACTGATTTACCATCGTTCCCTAATACCCTGCGTCTAACCTCACTATTACTTATCCGGTGATCCCAGCAGATGCTTGAAATATTTCTAAGGCATCTGTGGTCAAATACTAGTAACTTACGAGTATCTTCTACTCTTAATGGCCATGTTTCGCGGTGGAAAAGTAGAACAGAACGAAATTCTGCACGGTAAACGAGGTTCTGGAATCCGAGCTGAGATTTTGTCAAACACCAACCCATTAGGGCTGATCAGACTTCCAAGATAAGTGAAGTTGTCAATGCGTTCGACTACTTCACTCGCTATTCTTAGTTCAGGTGTTGACGCAGACCAGTCCTGAAGCAACAACTTGCATTTAGAGGGAGAGAAGTGCATTCCAAACATTCTGGCATTGTTGCTTAGTGCTACCAAAAGACTCTGCATTTTGTCAGCGTCCTCACCAAACAGGACTATGTCATCTGTGTATTCTAAGTCGATAAGTGGACCTCGTGGAAGGAGATCAATACCCGAGAATTCAGTCGACGAGCATGTTATTTCCACCAATAGGTCTATGATGAAGTTGAACAAAAATGGAGAAAGTGGACAGCCTTGAAGGACACCACTTGAGGTCGCAAATGCAGATGACAGTTCGCCATAAACCCTGACTGGACTAGTAGTGTTCGAGTAAAGAGCCTTCACAAGTTTTATGTGCTTCTGAGGTACGCCTTTCAATGACAGACACTGCCACAGAATCTCTCGGTCTATGGAATCAAATGCTGCTTTTAAGTCGAGAAAGACCACACCATCGTCGGACGCCGATAAGTATTTCGTGCCTTAAGGTGACCCTCGTGCTATTGATAGAAGAAACCAGAGAAGTAGTGAATAGGTCTTTATTTCGATCTTCGCGCAGTCACAGTGGAGTGTGTGATTATCTGTTGGGACAAACAAAGGCTCTCAACATTCAACATAAGATAATAGGGAATATAACGCTTATAAACAATAAGGAAGTGAATGAATACTTGAACAATACTGTCTTGGTATATGCTTGGTTGTTTGGGGTCAACTCTTAACCAACCAACCTAAGCTGTTACATTAGCTTCCCCCTAGAATCGACTTCCGTATGAACGTCGGTTCGATCAACCTATCTATCGAAATCACCTTAGTTCTATTCCTCATCCCAACGGAAAATTATCAACTCGCTCACTGTTTGACTTACAATCAGTGACGACTGACGCTGTCAACGATAGTCCATGGATGTCTCTTCATTTACTAGCTTGTCATCTTATTTTTAGCATGTGATCTATTCTACAACTATCGCTGACGGTTTACTGCGTGCCTTCAAGAGAAAGAGTGTGAGAATGTGGAATAAGAATATCTGAGGAAGTGCCGCGAGCGGGCTACCCAACACCATGTTGGTGAGGTACGATTTTTCCATGCTCAGACCGGCTATCAGGTGTTTACTCACCTGCCTCTTTAGTCGCCCTCAAGTAAAAAGTAAAGAAGAATCTACTTCAAAGGTAATGGTGAAAACCAATCACACCTGAAGAACTGCTCCACTGACTGCATAAAAATAATAAGATACAAAATGGAAATACAAAAATATAATTTATAATTGTTCGGTTCCACGTAAGTGATTGGCCTCCAGAAAGGATTGGTATTCTGGAAGAAAATAGACATAGTGTAGCCATCTTATGTACGAAAAGGTATGAACACAAAAAAAAACTTTTTCATAATGCATATATGTAAAAGTGTAAAGTTGCTAGAAGTTGGACTCATTGTCAAACCCGATCAAATGTATGACCTTGGGCCTATGACGACCGCCTTTTATAACCAGGTACGTAACCAAGGGTGCATAGTTGTACTCCACAAAACGGAAAAGAATATACGGTTAAGGGGGAGAAAAAAATTGTGTAGATTATGAGGATTAAGTACAATTGTGTCAAATACTCTTTTCTGGTTTGATCTAAGTATGTATGATATATTGAAACAATATTTCGTCAATTCATCCAAGTAACGAATTTGTCTGCACCTTAGAAATGTGTAAGTCCTATTACTCATTAGTATTATATACGATTAATCGGTAAAAGGAAAGATTGCAGTCATTCGCCCGTGGTTTGATGTGGTCTAATGGCTAGGCACACGGTCTAGCATCCAGGAGGGCAGAGGTTCGAGTGCGTGTGGGGCTAGCGTTTTCGTTCACCAAAACCCCCTTCAATACGATGTTTGTTGGCCATATGTTGCTCAGATATGAGAGAAAGATAACAGGAGGACGGATTGATATGTCAAAGTGCCATATTGGAATAGTACAAGTTCTTTGTTTTTATTAATAATAATGCTATAGAAAAAAAACTACAAGTGTGGTAGATTTCCATTTTACGTTATAATTAAACCAACGAGAGAAAAAAAGGTATATATATATACAAGTTATTGACATAATATGTTTTTTTATAACGCTAGTGTTAAGTTCCAGGATTTTGTATGGACCACTAATAATAATTGGTTTAACGTTAGCATAGCTGTGATATTCATATTAGTTCAATGTTGTGATTACTTAACAGTTCCCTTATAAGTTGTGTTTAAAATTAGGTATGTGGAATCAATGCGGCTAACAGTAACGCACTGTACTATATCTTCACGGTTATTGATTCTTAAATGTCAGAAATTAAAAAAATCTGAATATTGCCAATAAAGATGGGTTATATGATCACACCGAAAAGCATGCTGCAGGGAAACTGGTTAAGTCATTACGTAAGTTTCCTAAACATGGAAAAAAATGATGAGAACTTTAATAAGTACTTGACCATGGTTTAATCCAAAATGTTTTGTCTAGAAAACTACTTATTAATAGTAGTATTAATCGTATCAAGCTACTAAACATATCCTCAACCGAAAACTTTTAGAAGTAGTTCATATGGTATATATGTATAGCCAGTCTACGTGAAAAATATATATAAATATATAAGAAGTACAGCTAACATAGTTAATTAACCAGAAAAAGAAATTATAAAACTCACCTGGGTTGCTTTTCGAATTCGTTGTATTTGCCAGTGTTAGTTGTATGAGTTTGATTGAAATCCTCAGCCATCGTTTCGGAATACCTAGCTTATGTGTCCAGTATTTTTAAAAAATATTTAACATAACACGTATATATCAAAGGCAAAAGGTCTGGGGAGTTGTAGGTGAGGCGGAATGAGGAGAAAAGTTATTTTTAAGTAGATGAAGGGTCTGATTAGCTACGTGGTTAGATTTTATCCTGCAGCTGAAACTGTCAACATCCTTGACTGACTAATTAGATGTGCCCAGCGAACCGTTTTAGTCATTTGTAAAGATTTATCGTTTTTGCATTTCGATTCCGTAATGGATTTGTCAGTTAAACGATCTAACAACACGTATGGTGGTTCATGATCTAGATAAGCCGGCTTTAGCCTATCAATACTTACTGTGTCGATGTTTCCATGTTTTTCTATCACGAAATATTTAGATTTTCTTGAGACGACTTTGAAAGGACCTTCAAATGGAGGGCTAAGTGGTGCTTTTATTTTGTCACATCTTATCCAGACGTGCGTGCAATTGCTTAGGTCTTTAGGTACATATACGGCACGCGATTGTTCGCGAGTATTAATTGGCTTAAGTTTGGACATATGGTCCCGTAGTTGATCTACGTAGTTTCCTAAATTAAGTTTTTGACTGTTAGTATTGGGGTTAATAAATTCACCTGGTAGTCTCATAGTTGTTCCGAAAACCAGTTCCGCAGCTGAACACTGTGCGTCAGTTTTGACAGGTGTTCGTATTCCCAACATAACTAATGGTAGGAATTCTGTCCACTGATTGGGGTTTGAGTGAGATATAAGGGCGGTTTTTAGCTGACGGTGAAAACGTTCTACCATCCCATTAGCCTGAGGATGATATGCAGTGCAGCGTATCCTATTGGAGCCTAGAAGTTTAGCCAAGTTATTAAATAGTTCGGATTCGAATTGCGCTCCTCTATCCGTCATTATTGTTATGGGTGTACCAAAAATGGTTACCCAGTTCTGCATGAAAACTTTGGCTACTGTTTCCGCTGTGATGTCCGCTATCGGGATGGCTATAGGGAATCTGGTAAATCGATCTATGCATGTAAAAAGATAATTAAAACCGTTTGAACGAGGTAAAGGACCTACCAAGTCGATATGCACATGGGCAAAACGTGCATCTGGTTGCGAGAAAACACCTATGGATGAATTTGTGTGACGATTAATCTTTGATTGTTGACATGCTGAACACTCTCTAACCCATTTGTGTACATCCTTCTGTAAATTCGGCCATATATATCTGGCATTGATTAGTTTTGTTGAAGCTTTCGCGCCAGGATGAGACAAAGAATGAAAGTTATTATATATCAACTTTCGCATATTTTTGGGAACGAAAGGTCGCGGCATTGCCTTGGTCGTGTCACAATAAATTAGAATACCATCGATAGGTGATGGGAATTGTTTTAAATTAAGACTTGAATTGTTTGTTTTAAGTAGGTTTTGCAATTCTAGGTCCTGCTCTTGTTCGTGTCTTAACGTCTCGAAGTTTACTGTAGACTGCTGTAGCACGTTCATTTCTAGTCTGGATAAAGCATCTGCCGCCTGATTGTCCTGACCTTTGACATGTCGGATATCGCTTGTGAACTGTGATATATAGTCAAGGTGTCGGACTTCTCGAGGTGAGTATTTATCAGCTCTCGCTTTTAATGCATTCGTCAGTGGTTTATGATCCGTAAAGACTATAAATTCCCTACCTTCTAACATGTGTCGGAAGTGTTTAATGGTCAGGTAGATTGCAAGAAGTTCTCGCCCGAAGGTAGAATACCTTGTTTCGGCTGGAGCGAGTCTTTTCGAGAAAAAAGCAATTGGTTTCCAGGCGTTTTTAAGCAGTTGGTTAAGGGTACCGCCTACTGCTTTATCTGAAGCATCCACCATCAAAGCAAGTGGGGAAAGAGAATTCGGATATATCAACGTAGTTGCTTCAGCCAGTTTATCTTTAAGCTGTTTAATAGCTTCGATGGCGTCAGAAGACAGTTTGAATTCTTTTGGTTTTCCTTTAAGTGAATCTGTCAAAGGTTGCATTAATTGTGCACAACCTGGTATGAATCTGCGATAGAAGTTAATTAGGCCTAGAAAACTTCTCAGTTGTGTTAGAGAACTAGGTACGGGGTATTGTTTGATAGTATCCACTTCTTTTTTTATAGGTTTAATCCCTTCTGGGCTTATTGTGTGACCGAGAAATTCTAAAGTTTGAACACCGAAAACACACTTACTTTGATGTATGTTTATTCCATGTTCATCCAGTCTTTTCAACACTGCTTGTACATGCTGTTCGTGTGATTGCAAATCGGGGCTGGCAATTAACAAGTCGTCTATATACCCCTGCGCAAATGGCATATCTCGAAGTAGGTTATCTATGAATGTTTGAAATGTCTGTGCCGCATTTCTCAGGCCGAATGGCATGCGTACAAACTCGAATAAGCCAAAGGGTGTAGTAATAGCTGTCTTGGGAATATCTTCATCAGCCACCGGGATATTGTGATATGCCCTGACTAAGTCAATTTTAGTGAATATGTTCATACCCTGTAAACCGTTGATGAAATCTTGGATATGAGGTATTGGGTACCTATCAGGTACGGTTTGACGGTTTAGGGCTCTGTAATCCCTGCACGGTCGCCAGTCACCTTCATTCTTCTTTGGGACCATATGCAAAGGGGATGCCCATTGACTATCAGAGGGACGGATGATACCCAGTTGTAGCATATAATCAAACTCGGCCCTAGCGATTTTGAGCTTATCTGGTGCTAGTCTCCTGGGTTTTGCAAACACCGGTGCACCTTCGGTTTTGATAGTGTGACTCAATTTTAGTTTGTCTTTAGAAGGCTGTGGGTTTGGTTTAGTTAAGTTTGGAAATTCCGCGAGTATATCTTGGAATTTCGCTGTTGTTACTGGGGGAGTTTGAATCAAGTTAAGAGAGTTGATGTGACTTTCTTTGCCTTTTGTGTAATACGAAGTTTCTTTTAGTGTTAATCGCCGTTTCTTGGTGTCAACTAGAAATTCGTATCTCTCTAGAAAGTCCATCCCCAGTATTGCCAGATCTAGGTCGGCTACCGTGAAAACCCAAGGGAATTGCCTCCTGAACCCCAAATCTAGGGTTAAAGTTTTCTGCCCAAATGTCGCAATTTTAGTTTTATTTGCAGCTTGAAGTGTAATTGATGATGTTTCTCGACTAATCTCAGTTTTATTTCGAGGGATGATGCTAAGAGCAGCGCCAGTATCCACCAAGAAATTCAAGCCCGAGTTTCTGTCTCTAACATAAAACAAGCGACTGTTTAGGCGCCCCTCCTCAGTCGTCGCGACCTGGGGAGGGGTTACTCGTTTCCCGCTGTCTTAGAATTATGCTTAGGCCAGGCGCATGGTTGCATGCACTTGGTTGAGTTGACACCAAACTTCCAGTGGTACCAACAAAACTGCCCAGATTGTCTGGACATTTGTGACCTGTTTTGTGACTTGGATCGTGGTCGTTGTGGTGACCTGCTCCTGTTTCTATGACCCATTTGCATTCTGGTGACAGCCTCAGTGAGACTCTTAACACTCGCAATGAGTCCTTCTATGACGGGGTCTTTTGCTGATTCTACTTTTTGTGTGTGATTTATTGTGCCTGATCCAGTTGGAGGACCTCTTTCCATTATTCTGTCGGCTATACGCGCTAAATGAGATAATGAGGTTTCAGGATCCTGTGCATCCAAACAGTGTTGGACGTAGCATGGGAGAGCTTGTATCCATCCTTGTTTTAGGACTGCTTCACCCACTGTGTTATCACCCACTAAGACTTGGAGGTGACGTAAAAACTGTGACGGCGACCGATCACCTAGTGTTTCACCTTGAAAAAGTCTTTGGATTCTTTGACTATCTGATAATGATAAACGGTTCATTATCTCTCGTCTTAAGATGGTGTATGGTTGTGGTGATGGTGGACTTAAAATCAAGTCACGGACTTCTTTGGCGACTGAAGGAGGAAGGATAGAACACAAGTCTCTATAGCGAATCCCTTCAGATTTGATATTGTATCTCGTGAAATAATGCTCTAGTTGAGCAAACCACAACTCAGGATCACTACGATCAAATTCTGGAAGTCGGGATTTCGTAGTCATAACAGTGTCTATCTCCACTGGTGACAAATCCTCCAGATTATGGGTTTCTATTGAGTCTGACATGAGGTATGTGACAAATATAGCAATAAAGTTAGCACAAAAAGTGGTTACTATAACACGAACAACTTAAAATAATACGGAATAAACTAGTTATATACTCAGATTAGTTTACGGATAATCAGGTCTACTTTTACGATTAAGTAAAAAAAATGTTAATAACAGAAATGAGGTTAAATTTGTGTTCAAAAAGGGCTCACCAGTTTCGTGCCTTAAGGTAACCCTCGTGCTATTGATAGAAGAAACCAGAGAAGTAGTGAATAGGTCTTTATTTCGATCTTCGCGCAGTCACAGTGGAGTGTGTGATTATCTGTTCAGACAAACAAAGGCTCTCAACATTCAACATAAGATAATAGGGAATATAACGCTTATAAACAATAAGGAAGTGAATGAATACTTGAACAATACTGTCTTGGTATATGCTTGGTTGTTTGGGGTCAACTCTTAACCAACTAACCTAAGCTGTTACAAGTATGCCTGTGTTCTAGAACCTGACGAATGGTGAATATGTGGTGGATGCAGCCACGACCAGGTCTTAAGTCAGCTTGATACTCTCGTGTTTGCAGTTCACGAGTCTTAGTTAGGCGTCTGATAATTATCGAGGCTAGTGTTTTAGATACTATATTAATTAAACTAATCTTTCTACGGTTGTCACAGGATGATTTTGACCCTCTCTTAAATATTGGGACGATCAGTGATTGTGACCAGTCAGATGGAATAACGTCTAACTCCTAGATCTTAGCTAAAATATTAGTCAACCTAATCGCTAAAATTGGACCACTATCCTTAAAGACCTCTGGAGACAATCCACCTACTCTTCATTGTTTCAGATTAACTATGACCTTCTGAACATCAACAAGAGTCGAGGGATCTACTTCAATGTTTCTGTCTGGTGTTATCTACAGGCACTGCCTTTTCCATCACTTTTGCCTTCGTTGCCCACCACTGCTCACAGTCGTTCCCTAGAATTTCAGTTAGCCTAGATCTGATTTGTTTTTGCTCATCATCGTGTTCAGAGTCTGATGGGATGAGTTTACGATAACTCATCGGTGAAAGAGACTTAGTAGAAATCCATTAGTGTTTCGTGACCCTTTAATTTAAACCACTAATAGATGTTGCTGCTTCTTCCACAGCTGTTCGTATATCTTTCCAAGCAACATCTGGGTCAGCCTCACTTTCAGAACAACCTAAGTGTGACCTCAGTTGTTCCTGGAACCGACGTTTGTCTCCGGGTGTGGCCCCTTAGGGAAATCACCTGCTTCGGTTTGGGCACCCAGGCAGTATCCCAGCCCACACACAAACTAAGTGACTTGTGTGGCGCATATGCATCTGGTACCCCTTTGTACCAATGTTTGTGTTTAAGTAAATATCTTCTGAACAACCTGATTTCACACTAAACATCTACGTTATCCATTATAAAAGCAGCAAACTGAACCAATGTGGAAATGAAGACAACACACATAATAAGAAAAAAAATACATCACACCAATCTGGATGCTAAGTTTAAGGGTGATATCAAAAGGGTAGGCTCTAAGTAAAAACGAAATATCTCTGAAACAAAAAGGAGTTTGAATCTTTGTACAGCTAAGGTCAGATTAAACCTTAGTATTTGTCCTAAATCATGTTTACACAACACGACAAAAGTTGGTTTGAACTCAATAATGTGACCCATGTTTGATAATGTGGGAAGGTGATTATTAATCATATGCCATATTCTACAATAACTGATTTCAAAGTAACACATTGACAACGTTAGATGCCGACTCAGTGGTTTAGAGGTTAAGCGTTTGCGCGCGACTGATAGGTCCAGGGTTCGAGTCCCGCGAGGCGGGGTCGTGGATGCGCACTGCTAGAGTCCCATACTAGGACGAAACGGCTGTCCAGTGCTTCCAGATTTGTTATGGTCTAGCTTCAATTGGCTCATGAATTCAACCATTAAATTATATAAATGTCTAGGACTCACCGAAGAAAGGTTCTTGAAAAATTTCTTCGGCATACTCTCTCCAAAAAGTACAACATCTGTAAATAATTTAACTGGAATTAAGCAGTTACCAGGTTTGACGACGTGTTTGCATTTAAGACACTTAGGCACTCTTTTGGCTAAAATTTCATCTACAAACAGAAAGAAATGTCATTTACTTTAAGTGGTAAATACTTAGCATAAACTCGAAATCATGCAGTTTCTTGCACTTAATACAGTGTCCTGTGTGAAATGTTCCATGGGCTTCAACCAATTTCTCCTCTGGTAAACCAGATAAGCGTTCCAAACTATCACAGTTCTATGAGAATAAAAACTGGATGATAATGCTTTCATTACCTGTGTATAATGCCTAAGAAGTAAGCCTTTGTCATGAAGTAGCCTGATAAAACAATGAGCCAATGTAGGCTAAATTTGATATTATGTAATGCGTAACACGTGCCTTTGCTTCTGGTCGATACAAACGCCTTGCAATCTCAAAGAAAGGTCTAGGATCGTCCTGGAAAAGAAAAAAAAACCAAGCTTACTGACACTAGAAACACACCTACTCGGAAGTAATCAATCGAGAATATTGCGTCCGGAGTGGGCAAGTTAAAATCTCCCAAGTTGTCGTATATGCCAGAAGATGGGCTTCGAAAATCAGGTATTCCAGCAGCTTTATTTTTTCGAAATAAAAAATACATGGGTTGTGAAATAATACTCACAAAATTTCTATGGCAAAACAATTAACCGTTGAAAGAATTGAAAATTATATCAAGCGGAGAGCTTAAGTTAAGAAAGGTGCTCAATCTCCCTATTTGGGAGGACTTTGGGTAAGTTCTGTGGTTTTGCCTAGAGTCGTGATAAGTTTGCTAGCTTTCCCCAAAGTTTGGGGGAAACATTTTGGGGATTTTCCCCAGATCTAGGGAGATTTTGGGAGGTTTGTGCCAGTTTTCCAAAGTTTTCTATAACAGTTTTCCTAAAACGGACAAAATTTTCCGGAAATAGTGAGAACGGGTGTATATCCAAACGACTAGTAATCTGTGATTGAGATACCTGTAAATGCACCTTGAGCTGAGAATGTTTGCATTTTTATATACTCTATTATCGTTAGAATTCGAATTAATAGCTAGAACCTTAAACCTCATTCCAACATTAATCACTCAGTAGTTTTACTTGTCTGATAGACTTATCAAGGTCCTTTACAGTAGCATACGCAAACATGACCCACGGATACCAGAGTGACGCAACTCTTAATCCGGGAAACACTAGAGAAAAAAATATTACCTGTTGACACGCCAGCACCAACCATAGTTATTATTTTGTTGACTTGACCATCCTGGATTAATTGTGTCACACCTAACAGAATATGCTAAAACAGTTGAATTTACCCTCTATATCGAGAGACCCAAGTTTTGGTCGAGGCTTATTATCTCCAAACAGTGCTTTCTTAATTCCCGAAAAGTTGAAAGACATGACGAAGGAGAAACAGGTAAAAACGTCAGAGCCTTTCGAAGCTACCCGCCGTTCTGTTTAGCGACCTTGAACGGCCTAACAAGAGGCGGTCATTTCGTGCAAGAATTTGAAATTACAAGTTGACAAGTTCAAATACTTATGGGCAAAATGAGCTGTGATAACCAAATCAGGTGGATATCGGTTAAAAAATAATCATTGGTTCATACGAACACCGCATACTTCTACCACGTAATGAAGGTTCACCAATTTAATTAGTGGGTTGCGAAAATTTCAGCAGATGCCACAGGTATTCGGAGTTTAACAACGCTTTAACCAGTAACACATAATATTAATCGTACCCTCCAAGTGAAATCAAAAGACAGAAGCGAGGAGATTCAAAGGTATATTTGATAAGCTATCAATATATCGAGTATCGTCTGATCTAATCTGGCAAGCGATTGCAAGGGTTGTTGAGCACGGCCGTCCCACTCGTGATCTGGTGCGGATGCATGGCCGAGCTCATTCAGCTAAGTGAGTCCATTAAAACGAAAGTGGTCAATATCCAATGTCGAAAACTTACAGAGCTATTTATTTTGGGGATATGCTTAACGCTACAGATCACTCCCCCCTGGTGGTGAAGTGGTGACCCTAAGGCGCGGCCAGCCAGAAGTTTAAACCAAACGAGATTGTCGTTGGTAAACACTTCACTGATAGCTTGCTAGGTTTAGCAGCGTCTTGTCATCCTTCCTTACTATAAGGGACCATGAAGTACAATATAGTGAAAAAATTAATGTACAATGAAAATTTTGGTTCCTCGTAAAAGTCAACGTTCTTTTCCTGCCGTCCTGGAAAAGAAAAAAAGAAAATGTAAGTGCATGTCGAAATAAACTCGCACGCACTTTAAGACATAAAGTGGGTGAAAAAAGGAAAATAAACTCATGTACATGTGATAGCGCAAAAGCGACTTTCACAAAATGTCTTTTTGTTTCTTTTTAAATTTTTAATAATACATATTAGCAAAATAATAAATATATATCAATATAAGTAAATAAAAATTGATTTTTTATATCATATATATCGCCATGGAAAATGGAGATGAAGCAAAATGATAACTGGTGTCCTACGTGCAGTAGCCGTTTAAATGACCTGGAAATCTTACTCTTCTTCCAGAACGCGTTGTTTTAAGTTTTTTCAGATACTGTCGAAGTATCATTGTGTGTGTTGGCTGTCGGATGAGGTATTATAAGTGTAGGAGCCGTATCATTTGATTGTACCGAAGGCAAATCGACGTGGATAGGATTTCCTTCTACATACGCTGCTTTGAGGCGATCGATGCCGATGCTATCGTTGGTTCCGTTCTTATCGATTATATAGTACTTAGGTTCTCGTTGAAGAACTTTGAAAGATCTTTAGTGGCCCGTGGATCTGACTCCTATGTTTGTTATCGCCTATTCTCGTATAAAATCGTCGACCTAAATCGCGTTAATCAATAACGGAATTAAATAAGTCGAATAACGAGAATTGACTTGAGAATACATATGTTTTGAATATGAAGCGAATAAAACATAGCAAAGCAAAATGACACGCAGGGAAGATGGCTGGGAAGCCAACTCCATCTTTGTCAAGCGTTACTCAGTATTTATAGTCAGAAAAAATAAAGCTACAGACATGTGATTAATGGGATATCGTAAGTCAGGTTGAAAGAAAACATCAGTTGATTGCGGTCCAGTGGAAACAGGTTTAACTGAACGCACTGCGTTTGTAAGCCTGTTCGTGTAGGAGGTTAGATCCATGTTCATTGAAGAAGAAGCCGGAGTTTGCTACTCATCGTTCGACGAAGTTGAGGGCCACTGTTTCAGCAGTGATGTCCTTGATAGGTACTGCTTCTGGCCATCGAGCGAAACTGTCTATGCAAGTTAAGAGAGAAGAGTACCCATTTGAATTTGGTAAAGGTTCTACTAAATCCAGATGAACATGGTCGAAACGAGCGTAATGCCATGTTTTTGTAGTCGTTCGAAAACAGGGTCCAGATGCTGGAGATGAGATTCTCTGTCCGGACTTGCTATCAAGCAGCAATCAGCATATGCATGTACGAAGTTGAGACCTTGAAAAACGTCATCTATGAACCTTTGGAAAGTCTGGACAGCATTTCTTAAGCCGAAAGGTATTCGAAAAAATTCGTAGAGACCGTAAGGGTTTATGATAGCTGTTTTTGGAATATCGTCAGTAGCCATAGGAATTTGGTTATACGCTATAACCAAGTCGAATTTTGAAAAGACTGTTCTAACTTTCAAAGTAGCTGTCAAATCGTAAATGTGAAGCAACGGGTAACGACCGGGAATGGTTTTCGCATTCAATCGCCGATAGTCACCAGTTGAACGCCAGTCGTTGCCGTCCTTTTTAGGGACCATGTACAGGAGAGATGCCCATGGGCTGTTTGGCGGTCTTATGATATCTAAGTCTATCATGTGGTCAAATTCGTTTTTGGCCAACCTTAGCTTTCCGGGAGCTAATCGGCGTGCTTTAGAGAATACAGGTGGTCCTGTAGTCGTGATGTGATGTGTAACGTTGCTGGTTACACACTGTAAGATCCAAACTACGTTTGGACTGCTGGACAGCTGTCTGGATGAGTTAGATACGCGCCCTCGCCCGATTGAAACCACTCAGCTATCCAACCAATAATTGTTCAGTTGATCAAATCAATCACAACAAATCAACGTTATTCTATCCTGGCTGGATAGATCACACACAACAGGAGGAACAAATCAATATGGCTACCGCCAAGAACAAGTGTCAAGTAAAACAACACAGATGCAGTTCAGGAAGAAACACAAACTTAGTGAATGCGTAAGAAAAACAAAAACTATAATAAAAATACAAGTATTAACAACTCAAATGTAATCAAAATACAACAATGTACAACTAAGGGAATCAATAGAAACAAAGTACAAGTATATACATGGAGGGATTTTCACCAACACATAAAACCTTCAAAATGGATCTTACACACACGACAATTCCGGTTGCAACTGATATATCCCAGAATACGTACCGAGTGGTGGTTGATAGAATGGATCTATCGTGTGCCTAATTGTGACTGTAGATAATCTGCAGCCAGAAAAAGAAGTTATGCAAACAGACAAATCAGTGTTTCCATCTACTAGCCTCCGTTTACGCGTATCGATGAGTAGATTGTGGTGTTCTGGGAGGTCTATACTACTGATTGGCATGGAAACATATACAACAACGAAAATCCAGTGTATGGGTTTGCGTAAACCGACGTTAAGGTAAACGTATCTTTCACCGTATGTGGCGATAGGCTTTCCGTTTGCCACCTGTAGATTTAAAACCGGTTCGTGAAGCCGGTCGTTAGAATTTGCAGGGAGAACGCTAACTTATTCGCTAGCATCAACGAGGTAGAGAACTCTCGTTATCACATCGGTGGCGTATAGCAGATGGCTGTGTTCGCCGGATACGGTTGCCGTTAACGCGTGTCGACTTGGAAGTTTCCCGAATTGTTATTCGTGTCGGTCGATTTGGAGTTTGGAAAATTGCAGGGTTTCCTGCAATTTCTAGAAAATGTTCCGTACTGGTTATGATACCAGAACCCGTCGGGGTTATCCGTCTCTCGTGGTCTAGGGAAAGAGCGTCTACGCGAAGTGCTTCTTCGCAGACTGTGTGACTGTTCACGGTCATTACGAAACCAAAGGTAACGTGTCAGCGTTTGATATGGTTCAGTAATATCAGTCTATGTTCCATGAGGTTTTTCTTTGACCGAATCCCAATAAATGATTTTGGACCTAGTATATTCTCTGTCTTTCTTTCCACTAGATCGGGACATCTCAGAGGACATAGCAGGCGAGTGGAAAAGCGAAGACCGGACAAAATACCCACTGCATACAGTTTTTGATACCAAGGCATAAATTGTTCGAACCTGTTACTCTTCAGTTGACTCATCCAAGAGAAAACTGGAAACTCATAAAAACACACTAGAAAAGGAATAACAGGCCTTAGGCCTTCTGTTTTTACTACACAAATCTGAGTATGAATCTGAATCTACTACTTCAGATATACATTGGATGCATTGCGGACCTTCAAATGCTTGAGACACGGTAGGATTTCGCTAATGCTCACAATATCTTCAGTTATACTGTTCTTATTTCCACTGGTAGTTATCACACGTTACTCTTCAATAATTGAGTTCTGTTTTGTAATAATATTCCGTTTACATTAACTTGTTTTGCACTATGCATGAACCTTAAAATTGATTGGTCACTCGATGGTTACCAATGTCATGTGTCAGGTCCTTCTTAGGATATATCGACTTCTATCGGTCAAGTTTCAATGTCGCAAGTAGTCTAGGTGACTCAATATCGCGTGCACAATACTGGAATATGTGGTGGTTGATTGATTAAATTCGATCGTGATCTGAAATACATGACATCGGTCACTACTCAGTGATCAAACAATTGCAAGCACATCTCAGTCCTGTAGGAGGCCAACTGTGACCCGGATAGTTCTCTCTTTCTGAAAGTTGTTTCTTTAGCTTTCTGTACTTTTGATTTCGTTGTGTGTAGTTTTGCCATTAGCCCTTAACAATCTGCTGAATTTTACACGTTCATTGTGTTAGTGCGATTTTTTTATTGTATGGTAAATCATTGTGTAACGTTTTGATTACGATGATAGGCTTTACTCGTCGATGTGAGCAGGTTTATTATGGACTCAAATTCCGTAGTGGTAGAGGTAGTAAGAGTATAAGCAGTAATTGGAAAGATTAGGGTTTGAAGATGTTATTCAAGGAGTATAATACAGTGCAACAAATTTGGAAAGAAAATAAGAGACATGAAGAATTCAAAAGATTGGAATTTGGGAGAGCACAAAGAGTGGATGCACTTGCGCCATTGCAAACGATTTTGAACCATGTCATTCAGGGTCTCTAACTACCGCACTATTATTGATATAAACACTAAAATAGTAGTACCGAGTGATTAGGCATAAGTAATATAATTCGAGAAACAAAACGTATATGATAGCTTAAAACTCAAGATCTAGTAGACAAATATTGAATAGATTTGTGACCGGTTTTAAGCCATGTCACCCAACTTT